ATACATTCCCATCACATACTACAACATTTATCATTCTAACATCATCATCATCATCAAACCTTAAATATTACCACACATCATAATATTATCCTTTACTGTTACTCATTTTAATGCACCCATCCCATTGTAAATCCACCAATGACATCATTAATATTCACACAGTAGAATAAACCATTTTAGTTAATTCCTTACACATTACTACTCATTAATTAATTATTTTAGTCCTCAATCTCAATCTCTCCTCACGGTTCCTTATTAATTAATCAATTAATCAGTAAAGTAATACATCTTAAATGGAAAAAGGCATGGCACCCGATGAGAATGGGTTCACGCCCAACGTGGAGAGGTTAAGGAACTCTTTTCCAAACTCATGCCTTGTGTGGGATCATCCGTGCTCGACACAACAAGATTTGGGACCTTTTTGTCTCAGTCTCACCCAACATGGTCTAGGCCACATTCAACATCATCATGTTTGAAAAAACAACGCCAAATGGCGTTAAATGCAACACCTGACGCCTAGTATCAAGAGGTCTAAGACCTCTTTGGCAACCCCGTATCTAACGTGATCGTTTTCACGCCCAATGTGCTTGTAGGACCTACACTTCACAAATTTGCGATCTACATAATTTTACTTCCTTTAACTCATCATATGCATTAAACCCTTCAACTTAAGGATTCATTTGGTCAAATAATCGAATCACACTCAATAAATATCATAGTAACATCAAATCATCACAATTCACTCAAAACCTTCAAAATTTATACATAACAACCCTAACCCTCAAAATGCACCATCTCAAACATCAATTTAATTAATCCAACCAAATCAAAACCTTAGTATACAATAGCAATATAATTTCAATAAGAATATATACACAAGAGATTCCCCTTAAACATATAACGTAAAAGGCTTAGGGATCACTTCTCTACCCTTATCCCTCGTATATATATGCTTATAGAATCAATAATCCCACTCCCCATACTTGGAGTGATGGTTCTTATGGAACAACACCCGGTAGTTCCTGTCGCTAATTTGTGTATCCTCGATCTTCTTCTTTAGGTCTCCTCCTATGAGCGTTTTAGGTTTTCAGAATACATACAATGACCTAATCCCTCTCTATTTTCCTCTTTTGAATTAGTCTTTGAGTTGGACCCAAAGTCTAGTCCAATTATTTCTAATAAAATATTTCTCTTATAAATCTTAATTTATTCTAATTCATTCATTATTTATCAAAAAAAAAAAACAGGATGTTACATCTAGCTTCCATTAGCTTAAGATTAGTCTAAAAATAAGGAAAGAGGAAGAAGAAAACAACTTTGAGTACTCCTTACCGACACTCGTTCTGAGCTCTTTAACCTTAAATCCATCAATACAGTCAAGCTCTTCAAAAATGCTCATGGCATGACTACATGAGGATGAAGTGCCGCATATTGAATTCATGACCAAAAGAAAACATAGTTGTGCCTAAATAAGTTTCTCAAAAGACAATTATAAAATAAAATAAGCTTTTTAAAATTAAAATTCTTTTTTTTTTTCATTTAGTTTTTAAAAAGTAATTCTTTTTTATTTATTTTATCTGTAAGTGTTTATTACTTATTGAGAAGTTCAATCTTATTCTATTTTACTAATTTTAGCTGCAATCTAATTCCATTAACAACACATGTCTGCTTAGGGAGGCGGTGCCTGTACAAATTAAGAAGCCACATCTACCAAATGTGGAAGCAGGGTTAAAGTGGTAAATAACCGAAACCAGTATCCGTATCCAACATCCAACATAACTAACAAAGTTGGATTAGATTCACACAACCTATTCAGAAGGCTAGTTTTGTGGAACAACCAAACCTGTGTTGAGGTTTGTGCTTGACTTGAGTATTATTGATTGTTGGAAGTGAAACAAGATTGGATGCAATGCCTGGTCCTGGTCCTCACATGATGTATGCCATGGGTTGTGGTTTGGGCATGACAAGCATCAGCAATGGAAGGTTTAGTCCTCACCACACTCTCACCTACACCATAAACGCTTTCTTTGGACCTGATATTGGTTCTTTCTCTGAGTGGCTTGGTTCACTCTTTGGCGGTCCTGCTCAAACTTTTGGATCTGCTCTTGCACATCTCATCCACCACCCCTTCTACTATATCCTTATTTTGGGACACCCTCTTTCTCTTCTCTATTCTCGGATATCCTCCTATCTTCTTCAATCTCACCTTCTTGATTCTGTCTCAAGGGTCACTCTCTCTCTCTCTCTCTCTCTCTTGTTTCCAGAAATTTCAGGTCTGACCAATATGTTAACTAACTTACTATTGCAGGTGCCCCTTACAAGGACGCAATGCTTTTTCTTGATATCTGCTGGTTCTTTTACTCACTTCTTTCTGGATCATCTGTTTGAGGTAATAATATGTAGACAGATAGACACTTTTTGTGTTGCCAAGTTTTTTGTGTTTGATGCTATAAATGATCTGTTTTGTCTTTATTCATGTTGAAATGAAGCAAAAATGTATGGTTTTCTATTAATGAGTTCTGTTTGATTACTTTTCCCTGTTAATTTTGGCCTGATCGGTAGCTATAACGAGAAAGAGAAACATCTGTGTACTTTTGATTTATTTGCTTCTATTGGCGTGTTTTTAGATTAATTACATCAGTCATTCACTGGTGTTGGATGCATTTATGGAATTTAAAGGCATATTAAGATCGCCCCCTTGCCTTTTGTTTATTACCAGAGGTCTATGAGATTTATCATTGACCTTTAAGAGAATGCATGAGTTGCAAAATGAATAGAATACATATGCAAAGATGTGGGGTAAAACCACACACATATATCTGGTGAGAACAATTCTCATTTTAAGAATTTCATAATATACATCTGAAGGATATTTCTATATATGGGTGATCAATATTAAAAATTAGTTAATTGTTACATGATCATTTGAAAAGGTCGTGTACATTTGTTTCTTAGTCTTAACCTATTAAATATGATTTAACGGTATGTATTTATTGTTGTTATTTCTCACAATAACTAAGAATTCTCACTCAATATGCCCTGTATGTATGTATATCCTTAAGATGAGCCAAAAGCATTGTAGATGTTAATCGTGTCCAAAATTATTTTAAGCAACAAAGCATCCTACACCTCAAGTTGTCCCTGCAACCTTGATGAGGAGCCATATTTATTAGTCAACTAGGTGATATTGGATTGTTTGCAGTTTTATTTTAATCTTAAGTGGTACATTTATTGTCACCCTGAAAACTTTAAATTAGCTTCATTAACATTTTTTTTTGTTTCATGGATATTTGAAGTCCAAAAGTAGATTTTCGGTTGCAAAAGGAAATACCTTCGTAACTTTCTTTTTTCATGTATAAACATTAAATGTCAGAAAGATAATGTAGGGATCGATTCCATTTATCTTTATTTATGCTCTCAAGCGAAAGAAGTAACCCCTAAATTGGTCTTTTGAGAGTGTATGAATTGAGCCTATTAGTTCTTTAGATGTTAAAAACCCTTCATTAGTCTTTGACATTACAAAATGTCTTTCATTTTAGTCTTTTTTAGTACCAAATGACAATAGAAAATGAGTAGAAAAAAGGATTAAAATGAATAGCTTCTTACAATAAACGTAGTGTTTTTAAAATCTTGGGGACTAAAATTTCCGATTCTTATAATCTCAGACTAATTTAGGGGTTTATTCCCAGCTAAAGTGTTGGTTCCCGGGTAATATACTGGACTTCCATTCTATTTGCATATTCATGACAGCATTTACAAGTATAGTGCTGTTGGCTATTATTCTGATGGAAACTTGGGCAGAAACTTGGAATTCGGCTGAATTTTAATGGATTGCAAATTATCTAATGGTGTTTAAAGGAATGCCAAATGCTGCAGTCACTTCATTATAATTTGTCCTGAAAATTTACTCTTATATTAAGTACTAATTAATTAACAAATATTATGACCCAAATGACACAGGAGAATGGGAAAACAACCACGTACACTTGGATTTTGAGCACTGGCTGGTGGCAAAGTACAGCACCAGTTAACCCAGATGCTGTTGTTGTAGTTGGCTTCTTATGTGCTTGCTTAATTGGAGGCTATTTTTACCTCAACAGGTTTTTCTTTTTGCAACTTTTTAACCAACTTATATTATAGTCAGAGCATGGTTTTGACATTTTCTGTCACCTTAATTATCACGCAGAGCAAGTTCCTTAAACACCATAAAGAAGAAGTCATATCAATCAATGCTACTTATGATATCCATAGCATCCTTATATTGCTTTTGGTGTGCAATCCAGATATACTGGATCAATCCACGTCGTCCAGCGGTTGGTGAAGAGGCTGATCTTGGCGTTCTAGTATTTTTAACTATATATTTTTTCCTACCTTACGGTTTGTGTATAATGTCCATGTCCCCGAAAGATCTTGATACAAATCAAATTGATGTTTAACGTGTTTACCCTATCAGAGATGTGTTCTGCTTTTGCCACTGTAGCTAGAATCTTGCCGCCATTAACTTGTATGTATACTCACTCACCAAAAAATATGTGAAGGCATGCATCCATTCCTCGTTAGAACTGGGTTCTTTTGACCTTACAGGTTATATTACACTGGCTCATATAAGTTTTACGTTGTTATCTGTATCTTGTTGCAAAGTGATTGAAATTGAATGTAGAAGTTTGATGCTTGACTCCTGTCATAATGTACCTTTCAGCTGTTCAAATAAAGCTTCTTAGTTGTTATTAACGTTAAATTTGTTTGGATAAATTTGAAAGTCTGCAATATATTTAACCTTAACAAACATTTTTTTGGGGGTCTACCTTAACTAACTTATAATGGGTGAACTTTGGTTGTTCTGGCTGTAGATTCACTCTCATGCACACTAATCTCTTAACCTTAACTCTTTTGTGAATCTTCTGGCTCCCCTAATTTTAAGTACGTAATTGTATGAGTTGCATTATTCATCCTTTATATGTTTAGCGATTGGTGTCATGAGAGTAATAATTAAGAAATAACTTGGAAGGTTATCAACTTCTCATTTTTATAAATAAACTTGTAATAGTTTTGCATGTGCAACCTTTCACCCGTAAACATGCAGAACGAGACAGTACAAAGGATAATAGCAATTCCTTAATATTACTACTAGTGAGTTCTTTATCAATATCTTGTTGGATCAACAACCTTGTCCACAAAAGAAGGCAAACAGAAAGCAGCAGCATGGATCTGTTGTAACAAAATAAAAGGAAAGAGAGGAATAATATCTTAAGTTAGTTGGAAAGAGAATAAAGCGAAACACTAAAAGTAGGTAAATCCTTGAACTGAAACCGTTTCAATGAATTACCTCTGGGTTATAAAACTTAGGAGGTCCCTTTGCTACTCCATTTTGCTCTGGATTCAGTGGATTTATTGGGTGTTTGAAGTTGACTGGAGGCCCCTCCGTGGAGCAAAGCATGAATCCAATCACCCCACTGGAAAACAAAAACAAAGAATCACTTCTTAGTTCTTAACAGAAACTTCTCTGAATATCTAGAATTTACAAATGTAATAAAAATTTAGTTAAATAAGGAATACTACCTTGCATATGTAGGAACTGTGGTCCAAGCATAGTTAACTGAGCCTTTGAATATCTTCTTGCAATTTGCTATAGTATCTGCAACGACAAAATTTTCATGCCACAAGCTGTCTGCTGGAGCAGACAACACTCCACCAGGTCGAAGAGCCTTTGCTACAGATTCTAAGAAGCAGTTATCCGCCAGAACTTCCGCAATAGGTCCTGCATTACATTGAATTTCCTCATATCTCTTAACTATTTATTTCCTTTTAAGGTAAAACACGTGCACATTCTTTTCTCACTACAGCTGCAATTTTAAATTGACATTTGACAGCGAGAAGGATTATTTTTACCCATTGGTTGAAAAGCATCCAATATAATGACATCGTAAGTGCCCTCAGGAACAGAATTTATGAACGCAATTCCTGCACATATTTGTCACAAATTTGGTATATATAAACTGAGTAAAGTAATGTTACTCATAACAAATTTTTATAATATATACACATAATTTTTTTTTCTCTTTTTTCTCTTCTTATCTCTCTCGTGCAGAAATGATTATAAAATTTTGATGTATAAATAACATAATTTATACAAACTCCTTTGATTCATTTATATATCATGTTTGTTTTGTAAGTTAAAAATAAAAACAAATGGCTTAACTTTTTACCGTCGGTGATATGAACATGCACTCGGGGATCCTCGTAGCCAACAGCTATATCTGGGAAAAACTTCTTATAAACCTGTACACTCAAATGCAAACAGAAGATTTAAGAGGGGTTCTTTTTATTTGTAGTTCATTTCTGTCAAAGTTCATTGAAAGTTTAACTAAGGAATGTTAACTTGAAGACTTACATCAATCACCATTTTGTCTATTTCACATATATCAATATGCTCAACAGAAGAATGGCGTGATATTTCCCTAAGAATTCCACCATCTCCCCCTCCAACAAGCAGCACCTGTAAATAGTAATGTTCATCAACCTCTTGTTAAACAAATATGGTACATTAGTCTTTGTTTCTGACTTATTTCAGAAATGTTTTTTTTTTTTTTTTTTTTTTTTTT